AGATATGGACCTGACAGTAATACCACAACATAATAGGCTAAGTGACCGTGTTCATTCTAATGCCTAATCTTAAATTATATACAGAAAGCGATCAAAGAACGCTACCTTTACATCGCGTTTGCACTATTAGTTATGATGAAAGCATTTGTGAAAGTGTGAAACTCGTGTTGCAATGACGAGAGCATGCATTCATGCGTTCAACAGTCTGTCATCGGCTACAATGCTCATCGCTGCAGCCTTTCATGCGACGGGAGTAGATCTAAATATAATGCTATAATCAACACTCTCCATGATTAGTTCATCTCAACAGCTGAAATAGAAAAAACGTAGTAAAGGTTTTTGAGAGAGCTCAACACGCCCCTTCCAAGAGAACGTTCAAATCAGAGGACTAAAATCAGGGTAGAAAATGGCTTTTTATTTCTAAATTATGACAATATTTGATGTAAAAATCATACTAACATTATAAGTGCACCTCAGGAAACATTATCAAATAATTAAAAATGCAATGCATGACCCCTTAAATGCTTGAACCAACTTATTGAGTGTAGAAAATACCTTGCATTTTACTTCACCTTGAGCTACAGGAACAGTAATATTGACAATAGTAAACGTACAATAAGGAGGTTTTAACAAAAAAGCAACTTACATCCATGTTTCCTTTGAATCTGTCCTCCAGTATCCCCATAGCAGGCAGTTTACCAGATCCTTAAAACGCAGAAACATAGCTGTGATTATTCACTTGAGAACTGATCACATATATGCAAAAAAATATCTTGTATGAATTTCCACTGTGAAAGCAGAACAAGTAACATTCAAGACTACAGCTTTTTGAAAATCAGTTAAATGTGCATATATTTTCATCCAATAGAAATGCATATTGATCTCAATTAGCACATTCTTAACTAATAAGTTGATCATTCATCAATTGGATGTCACGTACCCATGGCTAGATACGGCACCTTGTCCATGCTCCCATAAGGGCCAACCGTGTACAGGTGACTGCCAGTGCAGTCAACACCCCCTAAAATGAGATGAGCTCCAATCATACCTCGATACCTGAGAAACATTATCAACATTAGAGAGAGATATCACATAAAACACAGCCTTATGCTTCAATGGTACAAACAAACATACATGATCGCGCAATGTTTGTGTGATAACAGGTGAAGATAATAACACAGTCTGCACACACCTGAAGAGCATGTCTTGTAGTATGTTAACGGCCATAACGACTCTTGGGTTCCTGCCGCTGTTCATGGAGAAAATGGTGAGGTTTGACGACAGCATATCTGTCGTCTTCTCAGTATCCGCAGCTGTCCCTGCTCCACAACAACTAACAAGAATAACATAGAATGGTTTTGAATAAGTTTTATAATTATTTGCTTTATAAATGATGTACATCTGACATTCCATTTTTTAATCCTTACTGTTACTTACTATATGTTAGGTGCAATGTAGTGAATCTTGGCACACATTTTATCTGCCACTACTTCTTCAGAGGTGGCTCTTGTGTCTGCTCCCAGAACTACACCATCCTATACACACGCACATGTTTAGTCTGACAGACAATATGTAACAAATTACAAAAAGTTTTGATATTCTGGTTACCTTATAAACCACTCCAGCAATGGTGGTGCCTGTTTTCATGGGTTTCGGTGCCTTGATTTTACCCTCTTCTGAGCCATTCTCCAGAACAATGTTTCTAAATGAAAGAGATTTGTGCATCATATAGGAGATTGCAAGGAAACGTAATGTCAGGACATACTTTTAAAATGTTTTGATCTATGAAGAATCGATTCTAAAAGACAAGGTACGTTTTCTTTTTGAAGAGAAAGACTTGAAGTCTGAAAGTACTTTCACTTTTGTTCCGACACCATGAAACAATGGTTATAACGACGCAAGGTTTATTTTCTAGATTTTACGCACAGCGTTATCATAATATAACTGTTTCAAGCCTAACTCCTTCTTACCTTGTGGAATTTTCGAAGTTAAAACCAGACCCAGCAGGTTCGAGGACGTTGGAAAGTGCCATGTCTAAATTCTCAAACCGGGAACTGTTCTCTTGAAGTAATGCGCCTCGCTAACACTAGTGTTGCTGTTTCAGAGGAGCGTGCGCAGTGCGCACACCGCACAGTCACTGTCGGGCGACGCGTACGCGACGTTTATCCACGATCTGTATGTCGAGTTTTTAATAATGGACAGCCATCATTCATACTCACAAGTCAAAGGTGTCAGCACCGGAGTAAGTAGCATATGTATCGTGTTTTAAATGAGTTAAACCTTTCGCGTTGCTTGGTGAGCTTAGGCGAAAATGATTTTCCCTTAATAAAAGAAATCATCATTTAAAAACTGCATTTTGCATTTACTTGCATTATCTTTGTGTAATATAAAAATTTGTTTGATGATCTGAATCTTTTAAGTGTGACAAATATGCAAAAAATTTAAAAAACAGGAAGGGGGCAAAAACCTTTTCACACCACTGTATATGTCCACACAAGCTATACAAAAGAGGTGCTTTCAGAAAAAAGAACATCTATTATGCCTACATCTTTCCCTCATTGTCTGACTGTGAAATGAAGAATGATTAGTAATGATTACTTTAATTTCAAGCATTAAATTGAAATTATTACGCATTTACTACATTTCTACTCAGTTTCTGTAGAGATTAAAACCCTAATTTAGATTTATACACAATTAGTAAGCAGTGTTGGGGGTAACGCATTACAAGTAAAGCGAGTTACGTGACAAAAAAGAAAAAAAAACAGATTCATTATTCCTCAAAATGAATAAAAAATAATGCAACTCAGAATATGACGCAAACCTGCAATAATTAAATGTTAAACAACACAAATATCCTTTATGTATTTATTCCCATTCTATTAACCAATGTCTTAGCTTCTGACCTTCGATGATCCAGTTCAACCGTACTAATAAGCAAAAATTACTCTAGACAAACATTTGTCTTTTGTTTATTGCTGAAGTGTGTTGAAATGTCTTCTTCTGCATTCTACTGTTTGGACATAAATTTACATTTCCTTCAGCCTGAGGCTTATTCATTTCACTTTTGGTGTGAAAAGGCTTTTATATTTGCCAAAAATATAACTTTTTTATTTTAAAAACAAACAAGCAAGCCCTGTCCAGATTTAAAAAGTAACGCAAAAGTAACGTAACGCATTGCTTTCCATAAAGAGTAACTAAGTAACGTAATTAGTTACTTTTTTAATGAGTAACGCAATATTGTAATGCATTACTTTTAAAAGTAACTTTACCCAACACTGTTAGTAAAGGTTGTTTGTGAAATGTACGACGATTTCTCAATTGTTAACTTAATACCAAAGTAGAAGAAAAATGATAAATCTGAGTAAAGTTCAAAGAGATAAAATTAAGTGGTGATTTTGTATTCAACCATAAACGTATAGTTTTAGGACGTCTTAAGTTTCTTTTCTATTCAAAATGATCCATTTGTACTCAGAAATTACACATTGATTGTTACAGTGTTTTGTGTAGGAAGTGAAGGTTCTGTGAGAAAAAATGCTTCTTACAGAAATACAGGGCACAGACAAAGAAACTTTAGAAATGCGAGAAGGCACAGTAAACAGGTATGGTGGAGTTGTCTGTATAAATTAAATTAGATAGGCATAACTATTTTTTAATAGTTTTTAATAGACTTTTTAATATGGTCGTTCAAATTACAGTAACGTTAGCCTAAGACACACTTGCTTCACTGTGTGTGAGCTGAGCACAATGGGAAGTAACTTTCACTTTCTGTTATAGACAAAATGGAGGAATAATGTAGACACATTAAAATACTGCAGGCCTGACAAAACAAAGTCTCTTTTCGCAACTTAACTCACTTTCACTCGCTGTTAGGAGCTTCGCTTGAGGTACGCAGAGTCGTCGAGTATCGAGTCTCAAGCGCAGGCAGGTTTGCACAGGACACTGAGGACAGGTAGTTGCTTTCCATCCATTCAAAATGTCGCAGGAATTGTTTCCAGAGCCAGAATGGCTATCTGAAGAAGTCAAAACCGGGGTGAGTTATCGCCTCATGGGCATAAAAGACTTAAACGAGATGTTTATTTCAAGCTGCATGAGCTCGTATAGGATGAGTTAAACGAGTTTTAAAACTTTAAAGCTGTTAGATCAGATCGTAACTTGCTCTAGCAAACTTTAACATTACATCGTGTTAATTAAGGCGTTAATAACAATTGCCTGGCATGTTAATCTGACATAAATGCGATATTGCATTTTTATTTAATTTTTTTCCATTTTAGACGACCATCATCGCGGTTACTTTTGACGGTGGAGTTGTTCTTGGCTCAGATTCACGTGTGTCTGCGGGGTAAGAGACACTTTATGTTTATGAGATGTAGGCCCAGCCTAAATGATCAGTAAGAGCAAAACCTTTCTCATAAACGTTTA